TACTTTGAAGATATTGATTCCACTGGGTTCGGCGTTGTGAACGTCTTACGGAACACTCAGGTAGAACTCTCGCGGCGCTAATTGTTTTCTCAAGGAAACATGCCAAACACGCGCGGGAATTTCTGAGTCTGTATTGCATGCACGTGAAGCACGTGCGCACTGGCGCGCCTTTCATGTTATTTGAATATACATACCACCACAGGTTAAAGAATTTCCACAGGAACTTCGTGCCGGTTGCATAACACGCGGGTCTGTTGGTTACGGGGAAGAAAGCACCGTTTGACTGGATACGGCCAAGGTTCCATGGGGCGCCGGTCCTTATCGTAAAGCGGGCCGGGCTGGTTTGACTCCGATAGGAGATATCGTAGGAAGGAAAATGTCAGAGATTGAAAGAACAGAATGCATCTGGATTAATCTGGCCTGTGTTGTTTTAGTTAGGGATGGTCATGGGAACGTTAGGGAGAGGTCACTGAGAATCTGTTGGTAGGAGTTGAGCGGAAAGATGGGTGTGGATGGTCAAGGGACGGTCATGCAGGCAGGATAAAAAAAAACATGACAGGCAAACTGGTAAAAACAGGGTTTAAGGGTAAAGACATGGAAAATATTTCCGCCCGTAACGCCCGTATTTTTTTAACCATTCCATGCCTAAGAATATAGGCCTACAGTTTTTATTTAAAAAAGCCTAAACCTAAACCTAGCCCTTAACCTAAACCCTAACCCCTCGAAATAATCGTAATAAATATACATGTAATACATTTCAAGGGCGGGTGGGGGGTTGTTGGGGTTTGGACTCGAAATGATGAAATGATGAATTTCATTTAACTGTTTATCGGGGTGATGCTACCTAAAGAAGGCCTTGGAATTAATGGAGAATTACTTGAGAAAACACCTTAATGATAGTAAATTGGTATTAGTTTAACTCGTGTTCAAGGTTTTTGTACTCAGCGACGTGTATGCATGTGTGTTCGACTGGTTGTACAATGATGTCAGCCGGAATTTAACAGCACGACCCGTGAAAATCCGGGTTAGAATTGGTCTTCAGTAACTCAAGCTTGTCGTAAGAGGCGACAGACGGGATCGGTTTGGATCGATGCTGATTATATCAATCACATGATTGTCTGGTCCAGATTCGACTATTTACAGACTGCTGTCGCAGAGATCTAAAATTTCTGAGTGCGGCGTCAAACAACAAACATACAAGCAACCTGCAAGTCCCTAGAGATACCACGCTTAATATCATCTTTTTATTAATTTTCATTGTCTTCTACAGAGTTACGCTATTACAAATGCTTTTAGCCTAGTGGTTGAAGCGTTCGCTCGTCATGCCGAAGACCCGGGTTCGATTCCCCTAATGGGTACATGGGTCCCCATTTCGTGTGTCCCCCGCCGTGATATTGCTGGAATATTGCTATAAGCGGCGTAAAACCACACTCACTTACTGAAGGCGACTATTTACAAACCCTCCTGCGAGTTGATCTGGCTGCTGTAGCGGGTTTCAGTATGTTCTGTCCTTGAACGTTATGCCGCCTCCGTGGTGTAGTGGTTAGAGCGTCCGCCCGGAGAGCAGAAGGTCGCGAGTTAGATCCCCGACCGCGTCATACCAAAAGACGTTAAAATATGGTACTTGTTGGTCCCTGCCTTGCGCTCGGCATTAATGGGTACAACAAGGACTGGTCTGTTCGGAGTCAGTATAATGTGTCTGAGTGGGGTATTCATGCTTCACTGTGGCATGGTATCTCAGTGGGCTAGCACTAAAAAACCAGCTTAAGTCTGGGCTAGTACAAGCAGCCGCACATACACATACACACGCATGCACGTCGTCATATGAGCGAAATATTCTCCAGCACGACGTTAAACCAAATTTCACCTCACCTCACCTTTAACCTTATGTCAGATGTTAACCAATTTGCCCGTTGAGAGTAGGGAGACGTTTGAAACTGACGGAGCTCCATCTCATGATGTTAAAGATACAGCAGGCAGGACGTCGTTAAGCAAGCACATGCTGCGACTGAGTGATAACACTGATGTATTCCACATACGGCTGAGAAGTACATCAAATCATTGTATATACAGAGAATCTGTTTATTAAACAACACGGGAGTACGTCTTAAGATATGACGCCACTTTGATTTGCTTAATTTATGAAAAGCCTTTTAATAAAATGGTTGTATGTGAACTCGGTTCCGCTATTAACGTTTTAGCACCACGGTGCTCGGTCTCTGCGAATGATGGAACCAAAGAATTCCTGGTCACATTTGGTAATCATACTTGTCGTAAGAGACGACAAACAAACGGGATCGTGTTGCCAGGCTCGCCGACTTGTGTGCTCGTGATGTCGATCACTGGATTACCCAGGAATTTATGTAGGATTCAAATTTTTTTTAAAAATAGACATTGTTCAAAACTGAATTTTGATGTTCATATTTTCGTAAAATCGGAGGAACTTGGATTTTTCAATCTAAATTTTAATGATTTTTGCTATCATTTGCAACGGACTTGGAACGAATATTGTTCTCTGAGCTGGTCGAGTTAATTCCTTGTTAATGCGTGTACATCTCAATGGCATTGTAAGAAGTCGGAGGCTGCTGCAGTTCCAGTTAGAGAGACATGCTGGTTGTAAGAGTGTATGGTGAATTCCAGTGTGCTGTGAACATTTTTTAAACAGATTCCAAACGTCAAATAATGAAGCCGTGAGTGCGATTTTTCATCGCTGCCGACAAGGAATTCAAAACAAACCTCCCACAATCTTCACTTACCACCGAAAATAAACGTGCTGACATTTTGTTACCGCTGCAGTGCCCCTTGGCACATTCGCCCCTTTCCCCTTCCCCTAACGATGTAATTAACAGGATGTGGAATAACACGCGAATCGCTTAGGAATCACAGGCAGTTATCTGTAAGATCAGACGCGAGTATTACCGAAGCTTGGTTATTGTGTGCTTACGCTGACCTTTCCGACAAGAACTGATAACGAGGCTCTCGGGGTAAGAGCGGTGCGGAATAAACATGGCTTCGGGCGAACACCGCTCCACACGTACACTGCTGTTATGTAATACGCCAACCTAGGTCTTCAAGTCGTCGTGGATATTAGGCGGCATATCTATGTAAACATGATTAGCTAACGCGTTCGGTCTTCCTTAGACATGGTGGCTGCTTGGCTAATGATATTTACAAGTTAAGCTTGTAATCGAAGTGCACGTGGTCCGAAGAGAGCGCATGCGCTCTCCGGTATACCCTCGAGACCGTATTTCCGTAGTCTACAGATGTTTGGCAGATGGGCGAGAGTCTGTGTGATTGTTATCAAAGAGGTTCCGTTTTTTCAATATTGTTTTGCCCTTCGACCTGTGTAGTGAGTTGGGTTTAACACCGTTTTGAACAGTATTCCAGTTCTGTAACGGCGGGTCAGCTCGATGTGAAGTCGGGGTCAACGTCAAGAATGTCGTAGATGTTAGCTACAGGTGTAGCGCTGAGAGACCAAACCACATTATCGGGGGGAAATGGGGCTGGAACTTCTGACTGACACGGCTGTTAAATAACGGCATGGTTCTAGGAGACCAAGGGGCGGAGTGTGGTCGTATTTAGGAATCGATATGACAACCAACGTTCATATCGGTTGTGCCAGATCGAACTGGGGGCGGTGGGGTAGCTTAGTGGTTAAAGCGTTCGATCGTCACGCCGAAGACCATGGTTCGATTCCCCACATGGTTACAATGTGGGAAGCCCATTTCCGGTGTCTCCCGCCGTGATATTGCTGGAACGTTGCCAAAAACGGCGTAAAACTAAATTCGCTCACTCCAGATTGAACTGAATGAATCATGCCTCCCTCTTAACTGTTCCGAATCATATATCTTATTAATAAAGAATCATAGTTCCATACTGGGAAAACCAGTAGAGATCGTAATTCTGCCGATTCAAGTGTTTTTTCGACTAATACCTTAATTGTTATAGTTATTTTATATAATTTCGCTTGAACTTTTCATAATGACCTGTATTTGCGTCAGTTTCACCTTTTTGAAAACACCTTCACATTGGCTATTGATTTCTTGGAATATTATCAGTTGTAGAAACTATTCATCAGAATGCTTCAATAATTGCACTTACGAAACATGGGATAATTTCCGAAACATGGGATATTTTTGTCTTTGGCGAATTGTAATTTTTAGATGAAATAAATATTTACATTTATATAAACTTAAACGAAGATAGGAGATTAAGAGTGTGAACCTGTGGAAATCGAGAATGTCTTCACCTTGGGCAATATCATTATATATGATCGGCGAGTCGGAAAGTAGATATTACGGTTTTGGAGCAGACTACAGACTAACCACAGATTGGCTTCTCTATACAGAAAGCATACTGATATATCAACGGTATTATTCAACACTGCATGAGTCGTGCATGCAAAAGAAGCATCTGTACACTTAGTTTTAGTAATATTATCCCTGGTCATCATGCCTTCGCTGCAGAGTTGTGTCCCTTACGTGTGTCAGGAGTCGATGACCATGAGTTTCGAGAATCGGCCTAATCATGATCTGTGACTAACGATGTGTCGATGAGGCGATCTCTAACTTGAAATAATCGAATCATTGTTATTTACGGCCAACCTTTTGACAAACAGAATCGTTGATAGTGTTGGTCATTTGTTAAATAAGACGGAGCATCTCTCGCTCTCACCCGGCCGTCACAAAGGTGGAAAATTGTCACTCACTCACTCACTCACTCACTCACTCACTCACTCACTCACTCACTCACTCACTCACTCACTCACTCACTCACTCACTCACTCACTCACTCACTCACTCACTCACTCACTCACTCACTCACTCACTCACTCACTCACTCACTCACTCACTCACTCACTCACTCACTCACTCACTCACTCACTCACTCACTCACTCACTCACTCACTCACTCACTCACTCACTCACTCACTCACTCACTCACTCACTCACTCACTCACTCACTCACTCACTCACTTACCTACCTATTGTTTGTTTCAGGAGAAGCCTGTGAATGGCTGATATGCAACATTCGCCCGAGAGACGAATCCTTCGCTTGCGACAATAACTCCTTGATCTTCGTGGACAGCGTCACCAACTTCAGGGGGACACCCAACGACGCGGCGTATCAGAACATCCGCCAGATGTGTATGGGGGCGAGATCATGTGACCCCTCGAGGATGTGCAGGCGGCGGACGGACCCCCTCAGGGTCCGATACGTGTGTGTTTCAGGTAAGAGAGGCACTGCGCTAGAAAGGGCATGGGTAAAGATAAACTTTGCAAATTTTATAATTGTACAAAATTGCCACATAAATGTAAATAGTACACATGTTTATCATTTACTAATACCCAACAGCTTTCTTATATTTGAAAATTTTCTGGACTCCACCAAGAGAAGCACGTGCATAAGTGCCCACCATTAGCCTGTGCTGTGCCGTCTCCATCCTTTCTCGCACACCTGGCTGTCCCTTTCTCTGCACTCCTCCCTCGTAACAAATAGTGAGCTGTGTCAGAATTTTAATGATAGTTTCTTAAAGAACTTTTTTGGTGGAGTCCGGAAAAATGTTTAATTCATGCCATCGCTTCCGTATTGCGCAATCTGATTGTCTTGGTTTCTGTGACGGAATTGTCTGGTCCAGATTCGGATTTCTACAGTTCGCCGTCACATAACTGGAACATCACTGAGTGCGGCATCAAACAAGATGCAATCAGTTAATATAACAATAAAGGATATTATCATTATTGTGTCTATGATCGATGTTTATGGTATTGTGTTTTATAACGCTCTTTACAGCCTCGTCAATGAGCAATGAATGCGGCTGGCCCGTAGAAACAATATGGCGGCGGGAGGGCCACATCCAGACGCCATTTTACCCAGCGGCCTTCCGGTCTCGGAGCTGTCTGTGGAGGGTGACGGCCCCGGAGGACAGGTTTGTCCATCTGTCCATCCACGACGTGTCTTCCGAGCATTCCTCCATGGAATGTTACAGCGCCTTGAACGTTACCTACCAGGTGTGCGACACCGGTCTCGTGGTGTCTGTGAAATACTGCGACAAGATGCCCGCAAACACGACCGAAGTTATAGCCTGTGGCACCGTCAGCGTGGAGCTGATGACGACGAGGCCTGGAAGTAACGTGCGATTCTGGTTGTCTTACGCAGGTAGGTAAACACGTCACGATGTGGGAGGGATGGCTGGGTAGTCCAGTGGTTAAAGTGTTTGCTCGTCACGCCGAAGCAGGGGTTCGATCCTATATGAGTACAATGTGAAACAGCATTTAAGTGTCCTCAGCCGTGATATTGCTGGGGTATTGGTAACGTTAGAATTCTCATTTACTCAATAAATCTCACAATGATTCTCTTAAATCTTATATGTCTACTTCGCTGATTCCTGTCTAGTCATTGAGTGAGTGAGTTTTACGCCGCACTCAGCAATATTCCAGCTATATGGCGGTAGTTTGTAAATAATCGAGTCTGGACCAGGTAATCCAGTGATCAACAGCATGAGCATCGATCTGCGCAATTGGGAACCGATGACATATGTCAACCAAGTCAGCGAGCCTGACCACCCGATCCCGTTAATCGCCTCTTACGACAAGCATGGGTTACTGAAGATCAATATTCTAACCCGGACCTTCACGGGCCGATTCGTGTCTAAAGAGACACTATCTGGCTGAAATAATGCCGATGTTGTCTAGACAACACTGGAATACACTAGTTTTAAGTGGAAGACGGATTACTGCTTCTTCTTTATACTGGTTCCACCCAATCATTTTTCACACCAAAATCCTTAATCCAAGATTTTTAAGTTAATATTACTTTGATATCGAAAGTAAAAATAATTAAAAATTTCAATATAATTACCTACATTATTACCACTTAATAGCCACGTGATAACTGTCTTACAATAAACGTAGTTGCACTCGCACATGGATCTAAAGAGCCGGGCAGAAGAAAGCATGAACTTCAAAATTTTATTTGACAAAAACAAGCGTTATCAAAATATTACCAGGCTAAAAACAGTGGCTATGTCCCGACTCACCCAAATACCGGACTGTTAAGTCCATTCCCCCTGCGCGTCGTATAGACATCGAGAGACCAGTCAATTCTGTATCAGAGCAGATGCCTGATAACCCGGATGTTCCACAGAATGGTCTTAGTTTAAAACTGATAAAACTGCTGGAAATATCATTTCACATTTCATATCAAAATCCATTGATCTATACCGGGACTTTATTAATAATATTAAAATATTGCTTCTGTCTCCGCTTTAACTCATTTAATGTTTTACCTGGGAAGAAGAGCCGAAGATCGTTTCCATCGTTTTTATTTTATTTTTTTTTACTTTTTATTGTAAAGATATAAAGCATGTCCTAGTGAAACCTATTTGTGACAATCTGAGGCATATATATTTTACCTAAAGAAACACACATGTGTTCGATATTCGGTTCTGTGTCCAGTTCTGTCTTTTCTCCTAAGGGGCGGTGGGGGTAGTATAGTGGATAAAGTGTTCGCGCGTCACGCCGAAGACCCGGGTTCGATTCCTCACATGGGTACAATGTGTGAAGCCCATTTCTGGTGTCCCCCGCCGTGATATTGCTGGAATAGTGCTAAAAGCGGCGTAAAATCATACTCACTCACTCTTTTCTCCTAATCTCATTAAAATCAAATGTTAGTGAACTTAGTTCTGGCTGAGAGCCTCCCATAAAGGGTAACGTCAGAACCTTTCGTCCGACCAGTCACAGAGTTACTTATCAGATTAGAACGTCAGTGGAGAACTTAGTCAGCTTATATTTAAACGGTAGCCCTAACGGAAGTTTAGAGTGCCACATATCTCGGGAAAGCTCCGTTTCCTTATGACTCGTAAAGACCCGGGTTAGTAGTGATCTATAGTGACCCATGCTTGTCGTAAGAGGCGACTAACGGGATCTGTTGGTCAGGCTCGTTGACTTGGTTGACACATGTCATCGAATCGCAATTGCGTAGATCGATGTTCATACTGTTGATCACTGGATTGTCTGGTCCAGATTCGATTATTTACAGACCGCCACCATATAACTGGAACATCGCTGAGTGTGGCGTAAAACAAAACTCATTCACTCACTTTAGTTTTACGTCGCTTTTAGCAATACTTCAGCAATATCACGATGGGGACATAAGAAATGGGCTTCACACATTGTACACATGTTGAGAATCAATCCGTATCTTCGGCATGACGAGCGAACGCTTTAACCACTAGGCTACCCCATCGCCCCGATACATATAGTAAACTACGGTTGTAACGAATTTAATGGCGCCATTTACCTCACTTCGTTATAACCCGAGTTCGTCATTCGCATTTTGAATCCAAACTGTGTTTTAGTAAGGGGGCCACCGGCCCATTGTGCAGGTACAAGATCCAGTATACATGAATGAATGGTCAAGTGACGATTAGCATCTTGAATGAAATATAGAGCACAAGAAGCCACTTCGTTTATATATCCGTCAGTTCTTGTTCGTTAGAAACCTAGTTTACTGAAGTTTCAAGGATTTGTTAACCTTCATCTAATGTTGCTTTTAATCAGATCTACAGAAGTCCACAACTAAAATTATTTCATTTCCGTAATCTCAATCTGTTACATTATAAGAAAAATCTCGAAATGGAAATTTTCTGAATCGGAGTAGCACGTGCCCGTTCGACGTATCAAAGTCTAAACAAATATGTTGAGACGTGACGGAGTTTCACCGACCATGCTGCTTATCCAATCCATATGTACGACCACACTGTACCATATCTGGCCCTGAATCTGTATACGGTTAACCGCATTTCTTTCTGCTATATGTATCAACAACAAGCTCACCGCCTCCTTAGATAGACAAACACTGCTGCATTCTTCTAACATCCTCCACGTCATTTCCGTTTCCGGTCCAGTGACGTCTTCACCGGAAGATGCTGTTCGGCCCCCGTTACTCAAGTTTGCGGGGCCATGTACGCAAGGTCTGAGAACCTCAAGCCGTGTTTTATCCTCTGATGTTTTACAACTACCGATTCTGCGGCCGCTGTATCCAACTGCAGGAATGGTGTCGTCAACGGCGATTCCCGGTAAGTAAATCTGAACATTTCCTAGCATGCTCGCCCTGTGTTTATGTACTTTAACATGCATATATTTTGACGTACCTGTTTTCATATTGGAAGACATTACATATTGACATCCGCTGGTTATTGAATACTTAACAAGAATATTCGAGACACTGCTACCATAACTTGAACGGAGCTAACACAATGTGCCGACATATTGTCATGTTTTGCCTGTACAAAGTGAGCTGCAAACTAATTTTCACCAATACTTATTATTAAGCCTTTTTTGGCTTTTAATGTTTGTGTGTATTGATGATTACTAGCGAAAGATCAATCACATACTGGTTTATGTCTGCTGAAATAGTTTCCATATTGCATGTGTACGACTGTCATTCCTAATGCCAGGTCAAGTACCTCACTGTGATATTTTTAGGGGTTTGTCTGAGCACGATTTGCAAGACGTTTCAAACTGAACAAACACAGATCCGTTAAAATGTACCGTTATGACACTGCAGTAATATATATCCATTTCTCGCTGTGACAGCGCCATGTTGAATGACTTGCACAAAACGCTATCATAATTATGGATGTATATTATTCAGTGCTATAAAGCTATGTCTTAACGGATTCTGTTTATTTGTTTATTTGTTTATTTAAACTCATCCTTCATAACGGAAGAGTCCTAAGATTTATAAACACAAATTCCGAAAGCGCCGGCCTCATATTCACTTGTACACTTAATCTGTCTATTACTAAAATATTTAGGTCAACGCGAACTTGTCCCGAACAATGCATAGCTATCTAATTACTAGTTGTAGAAATTATAGCATTACACCACCAGTACAGACACAGGCGCGCTGAACGCCGAGGGAGCGACCTACCGGCGGCTTGTCACTGGATGTTGGAGAGTCGCGATGCACTCGCAGTCCTGGAGATGCTTCTCATTGTCTTACGTCAATGTGTGTAAAATTAATGAATTTATTAAATGTCTGATTCCTTTAAGTCGGTTTACAAATTTACTGAAAACTTGTAATGATTTTGGTAGATTTACTCAAATTGATCAAATTGTCCTGAACAAAGACTGACTGACTGACTTAGTTTGGTTTTACGCTGCTTTTAGCAATATTCCAGCAACATCACGGCGGGGGACACCAGAAATGGGCTTCACACATTGTACCCATGTGGGGATTCGAACCCGGGCCTTCGGCGTGACGAGCCAACGCTTTAACCCTTAGGCTACCCCACCGCCCCTCCTGAACAAAGAATCTTGATAAGATTGATCATATACGACTATACTGACGTCCATAAGAAACTTTACCCCGTTTCAATTCAGTCTTGTATAAAAACCAACCATGAAGTAAAATGTATAATAATTGAAAAGATTAAATTCTCAAGGATATAAACATATATAATGACAGCCGTATAGCAGTCAGTATTGGACAGTTGCCAGGATTGAGGTGTGGCAGCAAAACAAGCTTTCTGTATTAGACACGCAAAAGCCTCCATCGCACAGATAAAGACAGTCCCCTGGTGACGGCAGGCGGGATACGTCGCCATTCCTTTTGAAGGGCCTGGATCAGTTCTTGTCGGTTGATGTGGTTGCTGTCGAGCACGACAGCCAGTGTCGTCCCAGAGGTGTTCTTTGTGAGATATGTCTAGGGAGGGTGCAGGCCAAGACGTTGACGTTGAGTTGTATGGGGCCTCCTTTGTCGTGGTGATAATGAACACTACGTGGCAGTTGTAGAAATGTTGGGACAGTTGGACGAAGAATGCCATCCAAAGAATGCCGTCAAATGTTCATCAGCGATGATCGGTGGTGTTTTGTCCTTCCCACAAATTAATTCTCTCACCATACAGAACAACCCTCGAACACAACATACCGCTATCCGTTCTCCATTCGGCCGTAAACACGCTATATTCGATCAGCTCTGAACAGAGAGAACCGACTGTCATTCTTGATGACGACCCTCTGCCAGTCACGTCGATGCCAGCTACCTACAGTCTGTACATCTCAATCTCTGACGAAGATGTCATTGAGCCTCCCTCTTCAGTCTTCACTCAATGTACCCACGTGAGGAATTGAACCCGGGTCTTCGGCGTGACGATCGATCGCCTTAACCACAGGCTACCCCAGCGCCCAAACATTCCCAAGACGCATCGCTTCGCTAAAGTACTGTCGGAAATAGAGAAAAAAAACTTATTTAGGCTGTTACTCTGTATCCCTAAAATTTATACAGTTGCAAATAGCATATGTCTAAACAACCCACATCGGCCTAACTTGGCATTCAGTTGGATGCTTAATAGGATATCCAGGAAGTGTTTACTCGTAAAATCGGGCAAAACTTAGAAAAAATACGAATAGCTGCTGAAAACAATATATCAGACAATAGATGGCAATTACTATTCACAATTTGCTAAGGATCAACAGAAAACTATGATGTGGGGTCAAATTTGATTTAAATATCTAAGCTTATTGTAAGCATGGATCCTAGGTTCCAGTATGTCATTGCATCTTGTGGATCCCATACCTGCTACTGACAGGTGTTGTGTACTTGTCAGTGACTCGTTCCGTGATTTGCAAAATGGTTGATTGGTGACATGAAAACCATTTTTATTGTTACTCATGTATCAAGTGCATAAGGTTAGATTAAAGTGACGCTTTGCCAAATAAGGTGTTACCACATTATTTATCCAGTTTTAAATGGATACAATTTCAAATTAAGAATCTTGCTAAATAAGGTTGTGTATTTCTGTGATTGTTCGCAAAGTGAAAGTAGTATATAGGTCGCTCAGGCAGGTATGACGACTGACCGTCGACTCACCTGGCATGAAATACATGTGCTGCCGACAGGTACAAGGGGTCATCTAAAAGATATCTATGCTTTTTCATGTCTCATCTGTTGATTAACATCTTGCGTGTCTTTCTTTCATAAGGTGTATGTGAAAGAGTATGATACCCATAGAAACGATTAAATCAGCCATCGTATTAAATGTCTCAAAATATATAGGTGGCATGATCACCCGAAGATCGACAGGACTGGATATTTTTTGTAAATTGTTATGACATGCTGTTGACTTCCCTAGTTTAATTCCCCTAAAGGATTATCTTATCTTAGCTGGTATCTCAATCCAGATATCTACCCAGCCCGACCCCAACCACCATCTGCGACACCAGTCCTGGTTTTGCTTTTGAGACGACCCCTTCTCCCTGTTCGTTTTCATAGTGGTAGTGAGACTCCATGGTAGCTACATCCTTAATAGTTTCAGTATTAAAGTTTTCATTTTTTACGTCAGCTATCGTTTATAATGAAGCTAAGTCTAATTTCAAAATGGGCATTTGAAAAGTGTAATTTGTAAAACAATATCATTTCACACTAAATGCATAAAGCCATGGCTGCAATACTGCCGATGTGACTTAAAATCTTAACTCACTCATAAAGCCATGGTCTGTTCCAATAAGTCGCTTTTAGAAAAAACCCGCATTGCTCATTTCTGCACTAATCTCCCCTCAGTAAAGTCCTTTTTCTACGTTTCCTATGTCCCTACCACTGAGACTGTAGTTAGGCCGAACTTAGTTTAACAGATATTTCACACTTTTACATATCAACTACATAAATTGTAGATACAAATGTGAAAAAACCCAGTTTTTATCTATTTCCGACAGAACTTTAGTTCATACACAATCAAATAAAAAGATCAAGATGATCATAACTGTGTGACCGGCAGAATCAATATGCGGACGGAAACAATGACCCCAGAGATTGATCGAACTTCCGGAAAGTGTCAAAATGTGGATGCGCATCCACTAGGAGGCGCTACTTCGTGTGGAACGTGCAAACTGGAGGATGTCTTCGTTCATAGGATGTTCGTCATCAATATTTAATCTTGTAATGATCCGCATTATCAGATTGGTTTTAACAGCATTTTGAGGAAATTTATTTTGATCCGTTACAGGACTATGTTGACTCACCGTGATGATGATTAATATTTTTGATAACCTTTAGGTAAAAGCATAGTGTCGTTGATCCAAATGGTTGCGTTTTCTGTGAAATCCCAGATGAACCAGTTCCGGGTCAGCTAGCCGTGCATGTAGGTGCGGAGTACCGCCTTTAAATGTAGACCACCGCTCCCAACAATATGACTGAACGACGATGTGTTCGGTTTAACGGGGTCAGGTTGAAAGCATGTTTTACTGTATAGTCTACTTCATCTTTTTGTCTCTGATGTACATTTGAACCACACCTCTGTAGAACTCACGGTCACTAAATGACGATAATAACCATTTAGTTAAACAAAACTGATATGAACAAAATTTATACTCAAATAATTAAAAACAATATAAATATTTAACGTTCCAATGACCACATTAATTAATCATGTTTAACAAAGGCAGTTCAATTTAAAGATAATTTTCACTTTTATGAATACTTTAAAGTACAGTCCTTCAAAAATATAAAGAAAGCTGTACCATTGACAACTGATTGATAATGATATATATCTCACGATTAACAGACCTACAAATAAAACACCCATCAGAATAAGATTACAATTCTCTCTCTCTCTCTCTCTCTCTCTCTCTCTCTCTCTCTCTCTCTCTCTCTCTCTCTCTCTCTCTCTCTCTCTCTCTCTCTCTCTCTCTCTCTCTCTCTCTCTCTCTCTCTCTCTCTCTCTCACACACACACACACACACATCGGTGACAGTTATTTCTTAGGCTGTGCAATATTACCGATAAACCTAGTTATTTGTACAGTAGCGTTAATTGTCCCACTCGGGGTTTGTTATGATCACCAACGTTTCCACACAGTTGGCATGTATCGGAAAGGGAAAGTAGTGTGAGCAGACTGTTCGGCTGCTTTCATACCAAGTTAACTAACTGTGGTATTTTGAAGTAGTTGTTCAAGTTTGACATTACCGACAGATATCCCCAGTAAGGTGCTGGTCCAACCCTACATACATCATGCTGTGCTCAAACCAGACATATCGTACACTGGTCGAACCAGGCATAAGGCATCACATGTGGTAT